AATCCTAAACCTATAGTATTTGTGCCAACACAGTCATAACCTTTTGATTTGGTCAATCTAGTCCTAAATCTTTTGACAATTTGCTAATGAAGTTCTTCCGGTCAATTTTGGCTAGGAATTGCTGATGTGGATAATTTTTATAATTTTATAATTATTTTTTTCAACTTTTTTATTTTTTATTTTTTTATTTTCTTATCTTATTTTTTCATTATGCCGGTGAGGGTCACCGGCGAGCCTTGATGGCCGCAAAGGCCTCGTTGAGACTGGACGAGGGCGGCCTCGCTCGCGGCGTGCGAGGCCGCGATGACCATGGACCAAGCCATTGCGGCCTTGCCAGTAGGGAGCGAGGGCGCAAAGGCCCTAAGTGAGGCCATCGCAGTCTTGAGCTGGGGCCTTCACCTGGTGAGGGCCTTTGTACCCTCTCTAGCACCCAGCAAGGCCGTGATGGCCTTGCCCAAGGCCTTCGTGCCCTTACCCATGGTCGGTACAATGGAAAAAAATAAAGAAAAGAAAAATAAAAAAAAATTCAAAAAAAAGTTACAAAACTTGTCCACATCGGCACTAGCCATGTCATGTAAAACAGTCGGGATCCATGTCAGCGAATTCTGGTCAAATTTGGCCTGAAAGACTTAATTGGCAAATTATTAGAAGGTTTAAGACTAAATTTGCCAAATTGAAAGGTTTAAAACTAAATTGGCACAAGTGCAATAGGTTTCTGACTTTTTTGGTAATTTCCTCTAAATTTTACATGAAATTGAAGTGTTTGAAAATGGGAAACTACCAAAATAGTCATAAACCTATTGTATTTGTTCGGTTCTCGAACTTTCAATTGAATCAATTTAGTCATAAACCTTTTGCATTTGTGCCAATTGAGTCCATTTGGCCAATTTTGGTCGAAAATCTCTAACATGAATGTCAGCTATGACCAGCGTTGCCGTGGACAATTTTTTAAATTTTCTAATTTTTTATTACTTTTTTTTTGTTTTTCTTCTTTTCTTTTTTCTTTTCTTTCCTTCCTTTTTTTCCCAACTGTGGGCCGGTGAGATCACCGGCCGACTATCGCCAGCCACGTGTTAGGGCTAACGATCCTCACCTGGTTTGGGCAAGGGCCGCGGCCCTTGCCCGTGCCCGGTGATGGTTGGCGGGCAAGGTCGCTAGCCAACAATTGGGAAAAAATAAAGGAAGGAAAGAAAAGAAAACGGAAAAAATAAAGAATTAATAAAAAAAATCAAAAAAATTAAAAAAAATTCAGAATAATTTAAAAAAATTTCCTTATTAGCGCCAGCCACACCATGGAAAACGATTGGCGTCCACGTTAGCGATTTCCAACCGAAATAGCCCGATGGACTCAATTGATACGAATGTAAAATGTTTAGAACTAAATTGATTCAATTGAAAGGTTTAAGATTGAATTTGTACCTATACAATACGTTTATGATTTTTTGTATACTTTTCCCATCTGAAAATGATCGGTCGGACGATCTATCGGATTCTCTAGTGTTTGAAACTCGAAGTCCTAGATCTTGCACAAATCTTCGTGTGCATATGTAAAGATCCTTGATATTTATGATTGGGTTGGGTGGAAGATACCAAATGAACGCGGACAAGCTCATGTCTATGTCAAATTCATTCCCTTTGTATTATTGGGCTAATTCAAATGCTTCTTTTAATTATGATATTGGAGTATATGGCCACAGCCTCTTTTCCAGGATCCAAAGATGTGCAAAGTACATCTAGTTTCCTAGGGAATGAAGACACTTGCGTGCGCTCATACATATACAATTATTCTTCTTGCAATCAAGGTTAGTTAACTTAGGCTTGATAAATATTAGTTTCTCTACTTCGACGATGCTTTCAGTCGGTCTCCTTTCTTTCGCTTAGTGGGAAAAATTACCGAAAAAGTCATAAACCTTTTGCACATGTGCCAGTTTAGTTCTAAAACTTTTAAATTTGACTAATTTAATCATAAACCTTTTGACAATATGCCAATTGAGTCATTTCGGCCAATTTTGACTGGAAATCACTAACATGGACACTAGACGTCCTACGTGGCATGACCGGCGCTAACGTGGGCAATTTATATATATATTTAAAAATTATGAATTTATTTATTATTTTTTTGAATTATTAATTTTATTTTCTACATTTTCGTTGTGCTAGCAAGGGTCATTGGCGATCCTCGTTGGTAGGGGTGTCAAAACCAAACAATATACCCGAACCGGAACACGAACCGACCAGACCCAACCCAAAGTTTTGGGTATTTTCGGGCCGGGTCAACTTCATGTTCGGGTATTAGCTAAGCAAATGGGTATCTCAATGGTTTCGGTTCGTGTTCTAAACACGAACCAAACCGAAACACATATATTTTTATTTTTAGAACCGAAACACATTTCATTTTGTAGCACTGTCGTTCAACTTCGTCCTGGCTTTTTCGACGTGGCGTGAACAAAAAGTTTTTGTTCTTTTGCTTGGGTTTACTTGTGTGTGGATCGGTTCAATGTATGCTGTGATTGGGATTTTGGTTGCTTTTGATCGTGCGCTCTTTTCCATCGTCCTCATGTGCTAAGCATTAGGAGCAGCAACACATAGAGAGAGAGAGAGAGAGAGAGAGAGAGAGAGAGAGAGAGAGAGAGAGAGAGAGAGAGAGAGAGAGAGAGAGAGAGAGAGAGAGAGAGAGAGAGAGAGAGAGAGAGAGAGAGAGAGAGAGAGAGAGAGAGAGAGAGAGAGAGAGAGAGAGAGAGAGAGAGAGAGGGTTTAGGGTAAGGCTGGGGCCGGCGAACAGGATGATGCATCAACGTCGTCCCAGTTAGCAATGAGAGGTACTAGCAAATAATAAGGGAGTGGGGGAGGAGGCGATGGGTGACCACTCTGTTCGTAGCAAAAATATTTCAAACGGCTTCTGTTCTTTTTAATAAATTTCCAGTCTCATTAGAAATGGCAGTCGGCCTTTTTCATGGGAACAGACATTTAGAGAGAAAGAGAGATACTGCATCCAAGGATCAAGTAATTGATAGAACCAGGTCGCACTATTGGGACACAAGAAAAGATTCACTTCATGGTACCCTCTCAGTCTCGGACCTTAGTTTTTGTCGTCGAGAGCAATCGATGTTCGCGAGGGGCCTTTTTGAGCTCCTCGTTTGATCGGGACAAATTGACCGGAGATCTTTTCTGTAGAATGGCATCGTATGTGGATACACGGAAAAAATATCTTAACTGCTCCAGTCTTGGAATGAACGGATTAGCACTCAATTTATTGCCGATGGGGATTGGTGGAGGCGGTTGGGTAATTCCGATAACTTTCAAGCAATTGTAACATCGTCAAATATTAGCTTGAACCCAAAAAGACCCGAAACCCGACCCAGTTTTTGCGTTTCGGGTCATGTTCGGTTCGGGTCAAGAGTCCACATATCTTTTATGATTTAGGTCGAGTAGGGTAGCGTGGAGACTAGACCTAACCCGACCCATTGACACCCCTAGGTGTAACTTAACCTTAATTTATAATAAAAATATAAAACATGAACCCGAACTGAACCGACCCGATTGTGCGGCTATATCATGTTCGGGTCTTGTTTCGGGTCGGGCCAATCACACATATTCATTGTTTCAGGTAGGGCCGGGTATCATGAAACCCGACCCGATCCGACCCATTGACACCTCTACTCGTTGGCTGTGGGCCATGGCACAAAGGCCAACGCTAGATCTGGGCAAGAGCCGCCTCACCCGCGACTAGTGGGGCTGCAAAGGCCCTACGCTTAGGCCTTGATGGCCTCGTCCAGGGCCTTCGCGGCTGGCAAGGGCCTCACTAGCTGCCCAATGGCTCGTGAGTGTCGTCGGCGACCCTTGCCGATCACAAAGAAAAAAGAAATTTTTTTGAAAAGTTTTAAAAAATTGTAAAAATTATCTACACCGGCCATGCTACGTAAGACGACCAACGTCTACATTAGCGATTTATGATCAAAATTGGCCAGAATGACTCAATTGACAAATTGTCCAAAGTTTTAAGACTAAATTGGCCAAATTAATTTATTTAAGACTGAATTAATACAGATACAATAAGTTTATGATTTTTTTTTTAATTTATTTTCCCAATCGCCTACTCATGCTTACACTCCTTTATGAATCCCAAATTGTGTGCGCAACTTTTCTTGAATCTTTATGAGAGTCAAGGGAGTGAAGCTTTTGTTTAATAGCATAGTGACTTGGGTAATCCATGTCGTTACCCATTTAACATCCGATGAATATCAATAACCTCGTCGTCATTCACTGAAAACTAACCCCAAAGTCTTACTCCCGTTGCTACAAAATCGCTTTTTCTGAAGAGTTATATGATTAGGAAACGGACCGATAATGTATATATCAAACCGATATCTCAACAGATCCTCAAGTCGGGCCAGTGAGCCTCACACAAAAATAATAAGAAAAATATATGGTGGACGTGACCATATGTAATAGACAACACAACGAATGGAATGACTAGACTACCAAGAACAACAGACAGGGGAAGGACTGATGGGATTTGAACTCACCCTGAAGTCGTATTAGACACCAATTTTCTCGAGGAATTTAAGCGGGTCAGATCGGAAACGTCTATTCATATCATATTAGAGCATTTCCTCAAAAGATGTGGATATGGAATTTGGCATTCCGAACACGTTTGCTGTGTTTTCTCCATCGCTGATGAAGGACGACGAAAAACGATGATACGGCAACGGAACGCGACCTCGCTCGGTCAGCACGAGGACCCCCCACCCCACCCACCGTTCCGTTATCGTTTGGCCAGGTCAAATGAATATGGTCAGGACCGGCGTGCTGGGTGTGCACTCCTTTTTCTGGTCAAGCTTATGGTTTTTCTACTGCATGAGTTTGACCCCTTTTCCGCACCTTTCTGATCCGGCCGGGGCCGACGTCGTCCCGTCGCCGATCGATCGACCGGTCCATCGCGAACCTGCGAATCGCCGTCGAATTCACCCACGCCAACTTAGATAAATAATGTCGAAAGATTGAAGCTATAAATCGTATCGTCACGCTATATATCGGTAGAATGAATTTTGCTCTTACAATGAATCGTTACTAATGTATGCTATGACCTTATTCACCAGAGAGGGAGCTCGTCTCTGTTATTACATAACCAACTGCATCATCGATCGGGCTCGGCATCGGCCATTCCATGATCCGACCCGACAACGGACACAGGAAAAGAAGAAGAATGAACGAATTCTGTAACCCCGACTAATCTCTGCTTTCATATTCTCTCTATCTGTAATGGTGTTTGTGTAGGCTATAAAACCTCGTGTCTGCTGTCTGAACACGCTGTACTTGATTGCTGAACGTTCTGCAACTCGTCCGGTGCTCATCTGAAGAGGATGAACGACCAGAAGGCCACGAAGACGGCGACCCCGACGGTGATGCAGACCAGGTCCAGGGCCCTCTCCCTCCTCTGCTTCCTCTCCCTCCTCTCCCTCTTCCTCTCCTCGTACGCCTCGAACCTCTCCTTCCCTTCGCTCCCTCTCTTCGCCTTCCTCCTCTCCCCGCCCTCCATGGCCTCCCCGAGGATCACCAGGCTGTCCCTCCCGGTCAGGCTCTTCCCTTCCATGTCCTCCGCCTGGAAGCTCACCTCCCTCACGTGCAGCTTCCCGCCCTCCTTCCCCCCGCACGTCAACGTCGCCGTGCACTGCACGTGCTCCGAAGCCGACCCCGGCGGCCCCCCCGCCACCACCGTCACGTACCGCGCCTGCACGTCCCCGGTCAGCCAGTGCCGCTGCACGGAGACCGGCCTCCGGGTCGAGAAGTTCGCCGCGCGCCGCCGGGCCGGGTCGACCACGATCCAGCTCAGGGACAGGCTCTCCTCCAGGTGCCTCAGCCAGGCCTCGTCGGGCGTCCCCGCGGGTTTCTGGATCCCGGTCGGGACGGACTCTTTCAGGTCGAGCAGGTCGACTCGGAAGGGCGAGCTCTCGAACCACCCGGACGCCGTCTCCGTCTCGTGGACCTTGGAGAATATCGCCTCCCCCTCGTAGTGGACATCGACGGCCGAGATCAAATACTCGGCCGGGGGCGGCGGCAGCGGCGACGAACGGCGGCCCCGCGGCTTGTGGTGGTGGAGGACGGGGTAGGAGTCGGAGAAGAAGGAGCGGTGGCCGGCGGGGAATCCGGCGATGGCCCCGGCGACGCTGGGGTCCCCGACAGAGGGCCACGCGGCGACGCAGACGTCTCGCCAGAGGCAGTCGTCGGAGGAGAGGGAGTGGAGCTGGGCGGAGGCGGAGGCGGCGGCGACGAGGGCGGGGCCGTCGAGGCGGGTGAGGATGTGGGCCCGGATCACGTCCGGGTGGACGGAGGTCAGCATGGCGGCGGCGGCGGCGGCGTCGGTGGAGGGGGCGCTGCTGCTTCCGGCCGGGGCGGTCGATGGAGAAGGCATGGGTGGGTTATTCGGTGGCTGTTCGTGGAAAATTAGATTTCGTTTCGGTTGATGATGTTGTTGTAGTAAGAGGGCAGGAGGGAGAGGAGGGAGAGAAAGAGGGTGTGTTTTTTTGAGTACGAGACAAAGGAGGGAAGGTTGGGGATTTTATAGGGGGGAAACGAGAACGTGGGAAAGAGTCAACACTGGCTTGTGTCTGAATAACAACATGCTTGTTTTAAAATGAGAAATATTTTTATCGACTATGTTTCGAACCTTACTGCATAAATTAACCTAGCTATTAAATAAACAAGTCGAGGGTTCGACATTAGCCCTCGTGGGGTGGCCTCGACTCGCTCGGTATATAAAAACGGGGGTTTTCGCATTAGAGCCGTGCTGGCAAGAGTGTTCTGATCAATCGAGAGAAGGATCCGATTAAAAATCAAGTCTGCATTTATCTCAGTTCCGAAGCTCGATCGGGTCCTTGTTCAATGAACTCTATGCTCGAGAAGTAAGTTCTCCCTTTTCGTTTAGAAAATAAAAAAAATAATGCTCGTTAGACAAAGAAAAAGGGTTAACGAGACCTGCATGCGAGTTGTGATGCTAACTAGTTGCAGATAAATAAATAATTTATTTCTTTTCTTGCATTATCGTTCAAATGGAGCAGCCTGCCGGCAGCCCAAAAAAGTCCAAGTTCAGCAATGGCAGAAGCAAAGAAACCGTGTGCTGACTTCACTTGAAGTGGCAATCGTGGTCAAGGTCAACGCACTGAATTTGTCAGCCGATGTGGGATCTTAGCGTGAATGGATCTCGAGAGCATTATATGAATAGCCGCCACCCAATAATTTGATGCTGAGAGGTCTCCCTCTTCTCCTTGTATATAGTCTTAGCAAATATGGTGATCTCTTATAGTTAAAAAGTCGAGTCGCCGACAGTCCCCTCGGGCTGTAGGGTCGGCGCGATCGCGATACTGAGCCGCATACGACGGGTGGTGGACCGCGCACGGCTTCGAGAGTGGTGATGATGTCGCTAATGACCGTGTCTTCATCCTTAGGATCTCGGGTATCGGGATCGATCGGAAGTAATTTGAATCTGGAATCCCCTTCGTTCGGAAGTTTTGTCCGTCTTTAATATCCTCTTCTTCTTTTTTTGTTGAAAAAGAACTGAGATAATAAGGCATGGAAAATCAGAATGACCCCCTTTTAATCTTGCCTACTAAGCTGTCTATTATGTTAAACAAGGGTATCTGTTTTAACCAAGAAAGATATCAAACGGCAAATTGAATGAGAGAACTAATTTTTCCTTAAGTGACTTAAAAAGTGCAATTGAATGGCCGAGGTCCCATCGGTCATGTACCCTTTGTACGGACGTCCGTGCAATCCTAAACTTTTTAATTTTGTCGACTTAGTCCTTAAATCTTTGCTTATAGCTTCAGTGTAGTTTTTTCGATGTCGGAAATTGCTAATAGGACAATTTGTTTTTTACTCGTTATGCACGTGAAGCATCATCATTGGGCAACGTGGCGCGAAGCAGAGTCGACACTTGGCGGTCCGACCGGCCCGACACGATAACTTTTCTTCTTTCTTGCTTTGAATGCAACGAGCGACACGTAGAGCGACACGTATATGGGCAGAACGCCGAATCTGAAGCCTCTCTACCTCACTCCTGAAATGAAAACGAAAAATAAAACGAGTACTTCTGCTCCCCCACAAAAAAAAAGAAAAGAAAAGAAAAGGGATCCGCGGATTAGGACGCGTCGAATGCAACGTGAGCCCACATCATCTCAACCATCGGATCGCGCAAGGTCCGCGCCGTCCGACGGCCGAGATGGAGCGGGCTTACATGATCGGGATGCGAGTTCAAGAAGTTTCCCGTCGCCACGCGGGGTTCGAGCCTTATCCAAGCCGTGCTGACTTGGCGCATTAATTGGGCAGGCCACAGCATGCACAATTTATTAATTGCATTCCATATGCAATTCGTGTTTTCAACAAAGCGCAACCGAATGCTTGAAAATGAACTTCCCGCGTGCTTATCTTATCGTGTGTGGGAACATCCATCATCATCATCGTCCTCATCACTTTTTCAGCAAAAGTCACTTCCTATCTCTGTGCGGGAGATTTAGAGAGCGTGCCCTTTGGACTTTTCTTTATGTTTTTTTCTCGGTTAAGAGTTAGTACTGAAACTACAAAATTAACTCCCTTCGCTCTATTAGGCCGGTCATAAATTAGGGGTGGTGAACCGGCCTTACGTGACCGGTTCAAGGCCGGTTCATAAGGAGGCTGGTCCGGCTCCCGATTCCAAAAAATAAGAATCGGCCTCAAGTGGTTCGGCTATCGATTCTATATTCTGAACTGATCGGTTCTACTTGGGAGCTTGGAACTTGTAAAACCGGTTTCAGGCAGAGCTTGAAACCGAACTGGTTTGGAACTGATTTACTCATAACCTTAAGTAAGTTCTTTCACTCTCTTTTTTTTAAATAGAAAATATTTACTGGAATTGAACATATTATCTTCAATTAGAAGGAATATTATTCATGTTCGACACATGTATATTGTATATATGATAAAATGAAACGAGAGAGAGAGAGAGAGAGAGAGAGAGAGAGAGAGAGAGAGAGAGAGAGAGAGAGAGAGAGAGAGAGAGAGAGAGAGAGAGAGAGAGAGAGAGAGAAGCCTCGATAGGTTCCCGAATTGACCCTAGAATCGGTCGGTTCAGTTGTAGGGTCATTTTCTGCCTCCAAAAACTGAGAACCGACCTAACATAGTAGGTTTCAGGTCTGGAATCGATCATTCCTATCATAAATTGTTCATTAAGACAATACAAACAGGCTACACTACTTTTTCTTTGAAAATGAGAGTAATAATTTTAGGGTTTGTTAATTTGAACTTATGAAAAGAAAAATGTAAGGCTTTAATTTTCCTCTAAAATCTACATTATTGTTCTATTTCCAAACAATTTTACAAGAAATGCACATGCGAATTTATGTATCGATATTTATCTATTGTGAGAGTTTCGAGTGTTTAAAATTAGAAAAAAAAAAAATCAAAACACATGCTCTGCCAAATTCGAAATAGCAAAAGTCAAAAGGCAAAACCCACAACTCCTAATTACCAAAAAAATAGAAATTAACGGAGGATAAATTTATCACAAATGTACCGGTCTGGGGCTTTTGACGATCAAAAAATTAGTTTGCAGTAAATTTGTCACAGATGTACCAGTTTGGGGTATTTCGTAGTATTAATCCAAATTTAGAAGTAAACAAAAAAACATAAAAAGCAAATGCCCTTCAAATTGGACTTGTAACAATGTAAAGTGCGACGATCTTGCCAATATCGAAAACATGTTCGAACGATGGGCAGATGGCACATTGCATGGGAACACAAACCGAAAGAAGTCAGCTGTTTCATGTTCCTATCTGTTTAGATCAAGAGTCAAATTAAGCCAAACGGGGTCAAAAGTTGCCCAAAAAGTGGAGGGATTCGACCAAAATGTCGTTGCTGTCGATCTCAAAGATGATTTCAACCCCTTTCTTACAGCTGTGGCTATTGACTGCAGCTGCAACAGTGGGGGAAGGAGTGAAGTCCTTCTCCAAACCTTTCTGGCCTCGTGACAATGAGATTGCTCCATGCCTTGTAAAAAATGTCATGACATGAATCTTTGTTTGTTTGGGGATGAATCCGGCTAGGGCCGGTGGTTATCCTTGGCCACCAATGCTTTGCTCTCGAGATCACAAAGGAGACAGTCACGTACTTCTACACATATATGTCAAAAGGACGTTGCGATTGTCGGGATGATGCCGAACCTTCCAATCGATGCAATACGAATCTTCACGTGTAGTGAGAAATAGCGCATTTTAAGCGTGTCAGATAGGCGATTCTGCATATGTCTTGCTAGGCGCTTTTATGCGACCGTTTAACGGGAAGATTCAATTGTACTTTTTAAAAAGCGTGTGAAATTTAGCCGCATCAATTGAAAAGATTGAGAAGTTAATTGTATGTTGTACACGAGATAAGGTTTCGGATTTCAAAGGGTCGTTTCACAATAAGACATACGAAGCTCGAGTTTAGAAACATTGTATAGCAGTAATTTCTTTTTCACCACGTTAGATAGCAAGCATTGAAGTATTGTTTCACATCGCTTGCCAACGGTTCGTAATTGCTTTTTATATTCATACGGTTTCCCTCCATCTATCAGCTTAAGCTTTTGAATTTGACTTTCTAATATAGTATCAGAGCCTGTACTATCCTAAATGCTCTTTATATTCATATGGTTATCTTCACCTATCAGCTTGAGTTTTTGGGTTGGACTTTCTAATAATAACAAAATACCATGAAAGAGATATTCCGTTTGAGTCGCCAACCGGACAAGACTCGATTCAACTCTGCTCAGTGCTCACACATGTCTATGGCATATCGATTTCGTCATGTTGTCCTCCGTGGGGATGGAGTCGGTTTTGCAAACATCCTTTTTTTTTTGTCATCTGTTCATGTACCGTGTCTAATTTTATCGCCATGCGCGTGTGTTTAAACCATTCGGCTCTACTAATTCTCGCAGATATACACGAGTCGCCCCGTGCATATCCATCGGATAAGGGTTCACCCGCAAGGGGCCGGACACGGCTCTGTGACTTAGATATTACTCCTACAATTCTTGATCTTACAGTAAATTTTCGAGCTGTCTCTACTTGGAGACAGAGAGGTCAAAGTCAGGCAAATCGGAAGAGAACCAACTTGGTGATCTACAAAAGTCAGCGTCGTAAACGGTCCACTGAAGATTAAATGCTTAGGGCCAAGATGGATAGATCGCTCGGGAAAACAAAGTCTAATGCACATCGAGCAGCATCGGTTCTGCGATGAACCGAGTGGTTACAAAAACGATGGCGACATTCGATAGTCCCTTGGGTACGCGCGGGGGACTCAGTAACAGAGATGATGATGGCCTAATCCACCCTCGATTGAGCGTTAACCGTATTACTTAACATCAATGCATGATCAACGTGTTTTTTCGAAGAAGCATGCGTGATAAATATCTCGACGACGACGGTCATTAGTCGTTGTCGTCTCATAACCCAGTGAATTATTTGAAGGAAGCACCGTTGGAAGTTGACCGGTAATCAGCGGGAACACATTTTATCGTTAGGAAGCCAAGTTTGACTAATCCTGTCGTCTCCGCCAACCTTCTGCAGAAGTCAGCATCGTAGCACTGAACACTTTGATTAAGTGAAGCTCACTTTATGTTAATCAATCATTTGAAAGGGTAGAGGAGTTTTGGAGCACGCAATAGAGGACTCTGTATGGGAGGGTCCTCGTGGGAATATCATGTTTTGATCTTCTGGGTATTTGGTAGGTTTTGAGTTCTGAAAGAAGTACAAAGTCCATATGACTCTTGAAATCGCTCTTGCGAAGAGCTTCGTATGTTCCTTCTCGGGGTACTAGACATTTGAGCGGCGAAAGGTTCGACAAATGCCGTATTGTCGTCGCCATGGTTGCTCTCATCAGATTTATCTACTTATGGCATAATCGAACCGATCGTGCGTTTATACTGCGCGATCCCGCACAATGTGCACGGGGTAACGCCTAAAATGTCAAGATGCTTGCATCACATTAATCTTGCACAGCAATGGAGTATCTTGATGTGCATACTTTCAAACAGAGAACTCGCTCTGTTAAAATGCTTTTCGTAATAAACATTCGTCCCAAGAGCAGAAATGGATTTGATAGGGTGCATAAAAGTAGGGGTGTGCAACCGGACCGGGTTTACCAGGAAATCGGACCGGCCCATCCGAAAAATAGGTCCGGGAACCGGTTCCCATTTGAACCGTTCCGGGAACCGGTTCCATTTTTTGGGAACCGGTTACAACCGGTCTGGTTTTCGGTTCCAAGTGAAAACCCACCCGGACCGGTTTTAGAACCGATTTTATATGAAGGTCCACTTACAATTTTATATGGCCAGAATTCAAAGCATTCTATTACAAAGGATGAGGAAAGTGATCATTATTTGCGGATAGTCTAACTTAAGGGCTTGTAAGCATTATAGAGAGCAATTTTCTTTTTTTTTTTAAAATTTTGTTCTGTAACGAAGAAACTACATATCCAACTAGAACCTATGCTGTTTTATCAGGTTCATTAAATTATTAGGACTAAGATAATATGCTTTTATATGAATACTTAAGATTGTTTGCATGATCAAACTTATAACCTTTGATTTGAGTTATAAGTTTTCCTATTTGCTACACGGAAAAAATAAAACCCAAAAAAGGAACAAAAAAAAAAAAAGGATTCTCGGGTAGACCCTGTAATCGGACTGAAAAAACGGAATGGGTTCCAAAACAGAGTCTAGGGCAAACAGGATAGGTTTCAGGTTCCAAAAACTAGGAACTAATTATAACAGGATCGGTTTCAGGTTACAGTTCTAGAACCGACCCACCCTGGAACCGATTACCCTACATAAAAGACTTCGACGCGAAAAGAAATGGTGATTAGGCTCCAGAAAATTACAATCTTCAAGTCCTCTTACTAGACCAAACTTGATAAAAAAAAAGGAGTTCGAACTTCAATTGTTGACAATTTTGTTCAATTGAACAAGATGAGCGCCGACAGTTCGAGGGTTCAACGGCAGCTTGAGATGGTGATGCAGCAGTTCAATTAACCATGTAAAGCCTAACCGTCCCAAGTAGATAAACCTCCCATACCAATTTCATTTGTTGATGACTGCAGTTGAGAAGGATCAAAGGACCTCCTCTTTGGTTTCGTTTTCTTAGTAGGGATGCAAACCAAGCCACCCAGCAAGACCCCATCTTCGACATCCTTACCAATTGCACCCTTTTCTCCATCTCCTTTGGGATTATCCGTGGCTTCCTTAGCTTGGAAAAGCTCCATGAATGAAGCCTCTGCGTCGTCAATAACATCGAGTTCGCTGGTTTTCGCTCTCTTGGACTTTTTCCTCTCTTTCAGCTCTGGTGCCGCGTCATTATTGTCATCAAATGGAGCTTCTTTTCTCAGCAAATCATCCTTGCTTTTCTGCTTCTTCCGCTTCTGTCCTTGCGTTGAATGTTCACCATTTTCACTATGAATGCCCATTGTCACGTTATGCTTGGATTTCCTGTCTCTTCGCTCTTCCTCTTTGAATTCTTTACCATCAGCGACGGGAGGAAATTCGTCAATGACATCGACATCAAGCTTCTCGATTTTGGTGTTCTTATTGATGGGTTTTGCATTGAATATCTGCAAACTCGGTAGAGCTCCCCTGATCTGCAGTGAGATGTTAAATATATTCGTCTGACAGTAGGTAAAGACTGGACATACATGAAAATAAGGGGAAATTAACAATCGGGTAGTTTACCTTGTTCGTCGATTTCTCATTCTCCGCAATAGGATTTCCTAGTAAGTTGAGGTTTCTAAGGTTAACAAGCGATTTCAGCACCTGCAGTTTCTAGCATTAGAAGAGATGCAGGGTAGTTTAGTCCCAAGAACAGTGAAAATACAGCCAGAAATCCCTCACCTTCACATGCGACCAGCTCATGATCGAGTTACTTCCCAAATCCAAGTTCTGAAGTTTAACATTCTGAGCAAGTTCACTTGGCAGAGCCTGAGATTTGACCGCAACAGAAGAAGAGAGGAGAACAAGTTATGAACACAAGGGTCCACTGGACATGGGAGAGAAACATATAGTACAAAGACGACTTGCTTGCAATAACAATTCTATTAAAGCAATCAGCAAAATTTCATAGATAGCCTCAATTTAAATAGGTGAACCATAAATCAATCATACCGTAATCTGATTGTGAGCAAGTCTAAGTTCTTTCAGTTCGATGCAGGACTTGAGTGAAGTACCAATAGCTTGGAGTTGGCAATGTGAGAGAGAGAGCTGATAACCAAAAAACGAGAGACTACAGGAAATGGATACATCTAGGTAAAATATGTGCCTGTAATTATGTCAATCAAATGCATACCTTTGTAACTGACTTCAACTTCATTAAGGACTTGCCAATTTCTTCTATAGGATTCCTAGAAAGAACTACAGCGAAGAGAAAAGGTGAACAAAAGTACTAAGCATCTTAGTAGTAATTCTTATACTGAGAACAAGAACATCAAAATGGATCAACAGAAGACTTAGTCCGTAACTTATGCGTTTCTATATCTCTACAAAATTCCAGTGTAAGTAAATTACGGCTGATCATGAAGAAAAGGATAGAATAGATACACTTAAATGCACGCATGCCATAAAGTACATACTGTCGGCACCTAGAAAATTGAAGGCATCACCTAAATGAAGTTCAATGTGGATCCTTTTATCCATCTTTTCTTGATGGTCAAGAGTCGAGAGCTCACTTTCACCCGGTAGTGCAGTTATAGACCGTAATTACAACTGCTTTACCTATTTTCCAGTTAAAAGTGTTCTGCACTTCCTATTGAACCCTCTCCCTCCCCCTCTCTCAAACAAATACCAAAGACTACATGTGACAAACATTTTACGGTGATTATAGAAGGATAGGATATAATAAGCAAGCAGTATGTAAAAAGATTTGACATGCTGATGACATCTGAAAGAAGAACTTAGATGTCATACCGAGAGTGTTCAGTTCTTTCAATTGGTCAAGTGTGCATATGGAAACAATCTCGTTGTCTGTAAAACAAAGAAAGGAGAATCTGAATAGGAACCATTATCCAGCTTTTTGTGTCCAAGAAATATAACCCACCGTTTAAAATTAATGCACGTAGACTCACAAGCGACCTAACCTCATCCATGGATCTAAGTTTGTTTTTCCCAGCATTTAGCACCTGTTTAAAAATGGAAGAAAGTAATTTTCCATCTGTAACTAGCATCAAGCTTCATAGGGGAATATTATAAACATAGTACATTGAGGAAGTCCATTTCCAATTACAATGAAGCAGAAGAATTTGTGCCCAAAAGTCTCCCCATTCAAAAAGTAAAGGTTTCTGCAAGATTCTCTACTGAAAAGAGCTTAACGCTCTAACACAAAGCAACGCAACTGCAACTCCGTATATCAGATGCTTCCTACACATCGAAGTTCAAATGTTTAGATACACACACAAGAAATGATTCTTGTGTGTCAAAATGATTCCTCAGAGCCATCCGATGAGAAATCTGGATGAGCATCTTTTACCCAAGAAAAACAACCCATTTCTTTTGACAAATAATACAAAATGAGGTCACTCGAATACGAATCACAATGTAGCAGCTACAGGCCAATTAGCCACCGAATTCCTCAGAGTCAGAGCTATGGCATAAAATTCAGCTAACAAACAGATACCCACGGTCTTAGCTTCTGCATCCACCGGCGCCATTCAAAGGCAGACATCCCCAGCAAATTAGTTCAGCCTCGAGAAGAGCACACTCAAGGTAACAGAAGTTATAGGGGCAAACAAACTACAAGTACACAGGACTAGCCACCCCAGCTCACTTTCAACCTCACTTGAATCAGGCTCATAACCTTGAGGCTGAAGACATAAGCAAGGTTCCCCAAGAATGAGGTAACGACTTCCCCTCACGAAACCAGTAGACTCTCAAACCCATATTTCTAGCAAGTGAACACTGCCAAGAAGTCCAATGACAGTCAGCAACTCACGGTGAGGTTCGAGAGCCCTTCGATCCCTTTCAAGCTCCGCAGCTTGTTCTGGACCACGGACAACCATTTCAAGCCGACGCACGGCCTCAAACCCTGAAACCCACGTTCAGCATTCATCAAGCTCGAGCCCAGAGCACTCAAAAAGCCCCCGCCTCGGTGGCACGCACTTACCTCGAGCGAAGTGAGGTTGTTGAAGCCGAGATCGAGCCTCTGCAGGTTCCTGAAGTCCGCCAGACACGACACCTGGCGACGGCGACCGATGCAGAGCAATACCCATGAGAAACGAAAGCGGGAAGAAAGGTAAAAATAAAGGGAAATTTTTTTTCCTCCGGAGCAGTCGGAAACGGGAAACAGGGGAGCGTTCGCGTACATCGGTAAGAGCTTTCTGATCGAGTTTCAAAGACGAGATGGAGTCCGCGTCCCGCGCGTCGTTGTCCTTCAGCAGCTGCGCAGAGCTCAGGCGTCCCACCGGCATCGTCGGCGTTCGAGGGGGAAGCGACTTGCTTCCAAAACCCTAGCTATGGCCGCTCCGGTCAGAGCAGCAGCGACCAGAGGCATAAATGCCGGCGGCAAGTTTTATCTGGGTCGGGTTCGGATTGCACCCGATTTCCCGGGCCGAATCGTTGCTACCCGGAAAAATGATATAGATAGTTCATAAACTTTGTTTTAATATGCAATGTGATAATTAAATTTTACTGCAACGCGAAATGAGATTCTTGAATTTTTAAAATATCTAATGTGATTCCTAAATTTTCGGTACATGTTTTATGTATTTTTTGGACTATATGAAAATATTTAATGCAGTCCTGAACTTTAATTAATGAAAGTATCACATTGAACTAAAAATTCATGGACTGCATTTCACATTAAGCTTGAGTTTATAGATAATTTGTGTCATTATCTGTTGCTATTACTGTGTTGGTCAGTAGCATTTCGTGAGAGAATCGTCATCCAATGCAAGCTCCTCTTAGGTAATGAATCGGTAAGGCGTTATGACAAGCATCCAAATACGTCTATAGATTCTAGACAAGCACCAAAAATCAAACGATTCATGCACGTCCAAAGTCCATGCGCTCTACCCTCGCAATCGGTTAACAAAAGCGAAGTAACTACAAAGCTACGTCGTAACCAGATTACCGACCATGAACCCGACCAAGTCCAGAGGCAAATGCCGGCAAGCTTTACCAGGTCGAGTTTGGATTGAACCCAATTTTACCCGGGCTGGGCCAAGTCAACGCTGTTGTATCGTGAAGTGTGTCGTCGGTAATAGAATCGTCATCCAATGCAAGCTCCGCCTAGTTAATGAATAAGTAAGACGCCGTGCCAAGCACCCAAATGCCCTCTCGGTTCATCAGAAGACTCGCCAAGTTCAACGGTTCATGTAGACCTAAAGTGTTAGCGGGCAATTGGTTAACGAGGCGACGTAATGGCACAAGCCGGCACGTTTTTGCTTGCCTTAATTGCAGCTTGTTTAGCAAACCCAGCAAATCAAACCAATCACAACCGATTGCATAAGCCAAACTTGAATGTTAGTAGACAAAGGTGTACAAGTCAGAGAGCCATAAAGCCACAATTACAGCCAAAACAAGCAGCCATCTAGGCCATAAAATTTGATAGCCACCTCCTCCTACTTGTCCGTCGTGACAAAATTCTTCTCATCATCCATGACATATCCGAATCACCACGAGTGGACGATATCGTATGCCTAAAGACCAGGAATAAGTTATATTGCCTCACAGACCAAGAGATCATATACTAAAATCAGTGCCTAGCTGCTCGAGAATCAAAAGATGCATTTCAGCAACATCCACTGATAAGTCGCATCCACCGTTGGCCTTCTGTACGACAATCTATTAGCCAAGAAAAGGAGCCGAATTCTTCTAAGCGAGGATCTCCAACTTTTACCCGAGACACCGACACCATTTGAAGGACGGTGTATTTTTCCAACATCAGAAGCTGCGAAATTTTCATGAGATGTACTTTTCCTGCTGCTCCTGAAGCAACTTAGCCGAAGACTTGGCATCACGGTACAGAGAAGTCACTTCCTCAAGGTCCGCCTGCACAGCACAAAGAAACGACATCAGGACTACAGGATGGAGTAGCAAATTATGAGCCTTTGTAAAATCATGTATCGATACATATTGGATGGATATTCACCTTGCAAATGCCATCTCGGCCATTCATCTTCGCCACGACGCTGGCCGGTGATAATAGTTGTACCGCATGCCTACAGAAATACTCTATTTATATAAGAATCATGAAACACATATATCCCTTTGGCAAAAAGTCAAAACATTAAAAGTAGACCTTAAGGATGTCATTTGACCAATTTCTCCCAGATAGGCTAAACTTTCTTCGTCCACAACCAATTCCTCCACCTGAGCACGAATTGCTATAATCTGGCCAATCACAGGACATAACTTGCTTGAATATTTTGCTTTCGGAGCAATGGAAAAGAGAGAATACATGATATATAAAAGAGGTAAGTGACTTACCTGTATCATTTCAGCAGGACCATATATTTGTGTTCGAATAATCACCAAACGATCCAACAAGTCGACAGGAATGCCATGAGGACTAGTCATGTCAGTCCCTCTGCCAAAATCATGCACAATTTCCTGATTAATGAAGAGTTGCAGACCTCCATAGACCTTCATGTTTCTCATAACTCAGAAACTAAAATGTAAGAATTGTGGTTCCAAACAACCAAAGTCACACACTCTGTGATAAACATCACCTGTGGTCGCTGTTTACGTAAACTCGATGGACAAAGACATCGGTAATGACAACAAACAAAAGAGCCTTTCCTCATTAAGTAAGATCAATTACTAATCTTTCTATAAATGTAAATTGCAAAAGGACATGCAACGTGACGATAAAATTATGTGATTCTAGCTGATATATATCTTCTAAAGCAGCAAAATAGGTTTTTATGTCTCCTCTGGAACCTCTTGTACATTGACAACCGGATCATGTATAAGATGCATCATATTTGACTCAAATGAAGAGCCATCAAAATGCTCATTATGCTTTACCTAGCGCGTGCACACACAAACACACTGCCTCCCTCAAATTATTGATGAACATTCAAATTTAGACATTTTCTCAAGGAAAAAATCCATACCTAACATTACATATCCCTCTATTTGTGGCAAAGATCACTATTGGTGATAGTGAGCTCTCTAAAGCACGATTCATGTATGAGAAGCACTCCATATCCAGCATATGTACCTGAATAAATGGAATTCAGTAAATCGCACAAGAAATAGTTATACCTAGACAGGTCCATGATAGACAAAAGAAAGAGAAAGGACCTCATCAATAAATAGAACACCAGGAACGAGCTCAGCAATGCCTTCATCAATATATCGGTTAACAACCTGCCATCAACAGAATTTCATCACATTAGACTTTTGAAAAGTTGATATTTGTTACAAATAGTTATTAACAATAGCATTTCCTAGAAGTGAGACAATATCCCCATATTATTCCAAAAGAATGTCAAAACTGTCATCTCACCCATACTATGATACTGATTGGATGTTACTTCAAATTTCACAAAAGTTGCAATCTAGATTGCTAGTGCCATAAGTCCCCAAGTTGAGCTGTACCTTATTTATTTCTTGCCTTAACTTGTCAGTTATCTCTGTCTTTCTAGGCTTCATCATCTGACCCATTAGAGATAATATGTCCTGTCCACCTTGAGGCCGTGCATTTGCAGCATCCAGATCATGTAATGTTACATCCTGGAGAATCAAATGTTAAGAAACATGTAAAGAATTCCAAATGGAACTTGCAAAAACAAATCCAGGTAAATAGCCCTTATTGCAAGGTTTTATAAAACTCTGCCAGCATGTTTGCCTCTTTGGTCCGAGCTACCTTTACATGGTTTTATGGTCTCAATACCAGTGCTGAACTCACTAAAAACTTCAGTTTCAAGTAAAAAGGCCATCTGTAACAGCTACCAAGAGCTTTTGATTTGTTTTGAAAGCCATCCGGTCACCAGATGCAAACCAAGATTTTCCCTCACCATTTTTCTGTATAGCTATAACAGTAGGATTTATATTGTTACATATAGCACAATCAACCAAATTCTTCAGATTGAGAGATGCATAACCTGAACTATCTCCTTCTTTTTATGAACCTCTCCTTTAGGGAGTGGGACATACTCTTCTGCTTCAAGGTCAAATTCTGTGGCAAAAGCATCACTTCTACCGACTCTTTTGACTGCTCCACTATTTGCTTCGATGTATATAACATCACCAACAGCAACCTGCAAGAGATTTTGACAATCACAACAAGATTAATCTCATCTTAGATGGTAGATGATCCTTCACCATTTGGATCCTTGAATGAGAATAGTATAACTAAAAGCTCTACAAGTCATGATATCAAAGCGGACAAAATGCATACTGCAAGTAGCAGCAAATTAGAGAAAGAATGGAATAGCTTAATAAGGACCTGAAGAAAAAGTGCCTCAAATAGAAACAAAACTGTATGAACCCTAAAAACAGGTAAGAAAAGGCCCACAAAAAAAAAGAAAGAAAAACGATTCCTCACTTTTTCCTTGATCAAAGCATCATATATGGTCGGGTCCAACTTCAGTTGCTTTGTTCCTTTGACAGTTTTTAATCCAATGATCACATGGCTAATACTTTTGCCATAGCCACCAGTCACGCTCTCAGTTTCTTCTGGAGAAAGTTCAGTAACCTAAAAACAGCAGCAAATATCAGGAGTCGAGTCCAATACAAAGACAAGAAACAGCCGGAAGAAAAAAAAGTCGAGCTTCATAAGAAGTAACTTGCCTCTCCTTCATAGACCTCTTTATTTTCCTTTATACGTAGACCAATAGCCCGTCTAAAATTCTCCATCAAAACCTCGGTTTTCTTTACTTCTGAAGAGTACACCTCTGATCCGACCATGGGGCAGAATGGTACCTGCAAGCGTGCAACAAAAATTGAGTTGTGAGAAACAGAATGAACTACTGGAAGTGATTCACTCATAAATCCCAGCATAACAAAATACAGAGCCCTCAAAAGAATATAACACAAAAGTACCTTGCTCCCAAGTTCTTGGGATATTCCAAGGGCCAAAGCTGTCTTCCCGGTACCAGGTGGACCGGCCAGTAGAAGGGCTCGACCGGCCATCCGTTTCTGCCGTATCATGTCCACCACAAGACCCGCAGCTTCCCTGGCCTCTGCCTGACCCACAAAGCCGGAGGCCAAAGGCAATGCCCTTCCACCGGCCTAGTAAAAGACGGCAAGCAAAAGATAAAATTAGGGGAGAAATCACACCGAAAAGCATCTACTTGCTAAGCACCTTATCAAGCTAAGAATAATGCTTCAGCATGTTGCTGCTGCCAACTGCAACGGCCCTCATTAACGAGCTCGTAGAGGAGCTTCAACTTGTGCAATTTGCAGCCATGTGGGAATAATGGGTGTTTGTTCCGCCACTCAAAACCCATGACACCAAACGTGCCTCAGCCAAACTCCAAAGTAGAGGCCCCATTGCAAAGAAGGAACCCGAAAAACAGAGAGGAAAAGCGGACAAGCTCTAAAACCCTAAACCCCCTCCTCCCAACGGGCGAGTCGCTCCCCGGCGACGGACGAGCGCCGAGAGAAATCAACTCCTTCACGCGCCGAGCAGCGCCGGAGAATTCCAAAAGCGACAAGGAGGGGAGGCGTGTTCGAGCGTGAAGAGGGAGGGCGAGAGCTCGAGGTCTTACGTCGAGGCCGAGGCCCTTGATGTGGGTGTGGGTGGCGATCCGCTGCTTCTTCGTCGTGGACTGAACCTCTTCGATCTTCATCTTCTCCATCTCTCGCCGCCGCGTGCCTCTTCCTGGCTTAGCTCCGGCGATTCCAGAACAAACGCCCGCGTCGCGGCGTCGCGGAGCGGCTTCCGAAGCAGAGTCTGATGAACAGCGGGAGCCATCGTTAGGGGTTCACATGAGGCTTATAGTAGTTCCAAAATTTTCGAATACGATAACATATTTTTTTCAATTTCGAAAAGTTATATATATTTTTATTCGCGTTTTCCCATATTTATATAGTATTTTCGGAATTTTTAGGGGCTATTTGTTTCCCCGTTAGAATTTAATAGATTTTTCCATACATCCAAAAAACTCTCCTTTCATCTTCCACACATGAACCTAAAGACAATTAAATTCTAAGCGATAATAGAAAATGTTAACTAAATTGTAGATATCAAATATAAATCGATTGATTCATGGCCATGCGGCATCAAGCTTTAATTTGTTAGAACGAATTTATGTGCTAAAATTTAAATTAAATTAATAAAAACTGAAATAAAAAACAAAGTAATGAAAAATGAAAAAGAGAGAGAAAAAGTTAAAATTAAATGCATCACATAATAATTTAAGAGTCCTTTTGAAAGAGATAGAAAAACAAAAAAATTGGGAGAGGTAGACAAAAAAGAAAGAATAATACTAAACCCACTTGTTCTCTCCTACACATCCATAGAAACCCTCATTTCTTCTCATTTTCGAGACTACAACAATCAAATTATATGTTCGTCCTTCGAATAAGAAAATGGTAAAATCAAACGACGCTTTAATTCGAAGAATAATCTAGACAGTAATAAACTTTTTCAATATGAATTTGAAAAACCTAAAAGAATAAAATCACCAATCACCAATTTCGCCGTAAACAATCAAGCGCACCTCATTAATTGTCAAAAAAGCCCTCTTTTACAATATGTAAATCAATTATCAATTATACGTATGTGTACATAAATATGTATAATTTTAATGTATGAGATTTTTGCCCCCAATCCCCCAATATCTAGAGGGAAAACCGTTGGATAAGGGAGTTCCTCAACCGATACGCCACGTCACCCGTTTCGCCAACCTCCGCCCAATCGGAATCCTCGGCTTCGCCCATCGCCGCCGGCGCGCGCGCAGAAAATCGCCGACATTATTTCTTCGTCGTCAACTTCAGTTCGATTCCGAAATTCCCGGCGGAGGAGCGACCGCATCGCCGATGGAGGCCCTCTCAAGGGTCAGATGCTTCGCCACCGGCCCCGCCGTCCGCCTCCCCGGAGCCCTTCCGGTCCCCCGCCGCCGCCGGAGAGCGGCTCTCACGGCGACGACGCCGCCGCTCTCGGCCCTGAGAGCAAGCGCCGGGCTAGGTAACGGCACCTTCTCCGGTTGCTGATTGCTGATTGCTGATTGCTGATTGCTGATTGCTTTCGGTTTCATTGCGTTCGATGCGAAATGTTCGATGATGTTCGATGGAGTTTTCACCGGTTGTCGAATGGTTGCTTGCTTGCTCTTTGAGGAGATTTTTCCGCGATCTCTGTTTGTGATAGCCTTTGAGCCCCTGTAATCGTCGGAAAGCTGATGTCTCGGTTTTTTTGCTGCGCTCAGTCGGTGAACTAGTCGAGGACGAGGTACGGAAAACGTTCTTGAAGGAAAGACAGTTGAGCGGGGATTTCATCTCCAAGGCTTCCGATTTGCTTTGGCAGAGGGAGGCCCTGAAACTCGTCGAACCGGATGTTGGGAGGCTTCCGGGCAGTCCTCAGGAGCCAGACCAGGTTCAGTCACGTCTCTATATCATCTTCTTTTTCGCGTGTGATTGGGTCTAAGGAGTGATGGTGGACCTTCTTTTACTAGTTGGACTGTAATATACCTTTAGTAGCTAGTGGTGAGTAGCATATGCTATTCAGAAGCATAATCTTTGTGTGGCTACTTGGAAAGTCAAGTGGAGGTTTTGTCCCGCGGAGATATGTCTTTCCATGTCTGAGTGGAGGAGTAACGCTTCTTTATGTAGTTTTAGTTGTTTTTTATTTTGTCAAACTAGCGGCATGAAGTGATAAAGGAGGGTGGAGACATACTTTGTGAACACTAAGTCTTGTATGCCATGACATAGAATAGAAGGAAAATCCGACTTACAGTGTCACTAAGTTCGTCGACATGTCAGATGGTGATGCACATATATGTTTGAGGATTGGAAAGTGCAGAAACTCCTGACTCTATTACACAATTAAACGTGTGGAATTTCCTTGTTGAATTGCAAAAAATTTCTTTTAATAACGAAAAAGGACATGATGTGATGTACTTTTCCAGGTCGATGAAAATGATGATGACGGTGGGTTCTTGAAACTGTCAAAAACCAACGAATGGATCTTAGGTGACAACTCTGCACCACTGAACAAGAAAGCCATTGCTAAGGTATGCTTTTTGTTGTTCTCTTTGTCAGGTTCTCGAAGTCACATTGGATTGAACTTATTATATCTCACCATCCTCCTCCCAACAAAAGGAATGCCGGGAAAGATCATGCATCTCGATGAAGAAACTTTTGATTGGCTCTAATTGATTATCACTTGTTGTTACAGGCATTGCAGGATGATAGAGAAAAGAGGAGGAAGTTAAACCTACTCCAATATGAAGCTGTATGATACTTTCCTTTATTTGAGTTGGCTGATTAACCATATATCTGCAGTTTGCCTGCTATATCTTCTGGTTGTTTAACTCATCGAAACTAAACAAATGAAGTAGACTTCGAAACATTAAGATGGCCTGGCCCATTTCATTATGGGCAGGTTCTCCAGCCTATAAAATAGCAACGCGTGTCATTATGCATTCGTTACTCGAGTGGGTACATCCACATCAGCATTTTTATTCATTTTGATTAAAGAGATTCAGATAAAGCAGAGTGAACTTATCTTTTTAATATTTTGGTCCAACAACCTCTGGCAGAGGTGTCAGAGTAATTTCTAGAACTGGACGATGTGTTGCTGCAACTTAGCCTAGATCTCAGGATATCATGGTAATTAATCCCGTAAGGCCTTAATCATCTGATTTACGAGTTATGCTTTAGCATAGCTACGCAATGTGCAGTACTTTTCCTCACGAATGTCATAACTGCACTTCTAGTCATCTCTGAAGTTCTCCAAATGTTGTGTGGATACTGAGAATTCTATCTTTTCAATTGCAGTTGAAGAGGGAATTGATGCTCTTATCCATTGGTATCGGAACTGCTTGCGGTGGATACTGTTTGATAGTTTTGTCAATCCAGGTAAACTTGGTTTTAGAAAACAGGAATTGCATAGGTTTGTGGTCTGCTATTTTTAATTCCTCTACTACCTTCAGATCAACTTATCACATCCTTCCAGCTCAAATTGGAATGATTAGTTTATGTTAGAATGAAAGGGGAAATGAGAATAAACTGGAAAACTCCTACGTTTTCTTTGCTGGTGCAGGCTGCTATCAGCTATGCTGTGGGAGTTCTTTTCAGGTACTTCTTTATTGTTTCTGTGGACAGGCTTTTTCTTTTAACTCGATCATGGAGTAAAATTTGTCGAAGGAGTGGTATGGTGTACCCAGAGATTTTAAATGAGGGAATTCCATTTCTGCTTTAAGTTACCTTTGATTACCATTTTATGAGATTACTCACGAGGAGAATAGCTAGAAAGCAGATTAAGATTTCATATCTCTTTGCTTGCTCTTTATTTCTGTTTTGGGTTCGATAGTTGCCTTTTCCTTTCTACGCCCCCCTCTTTTAGTTAAGTCAATGCGTGCACTAGTTGTCTTTCTGATAGACAAAAACTTTATGCTGCTGACGATTCACTTGGTTTAAATATTCCACCGCCCAGAGTAATTCATCTAACTCGCCTGGATACATAGACTTGTTGGCCCTTTGCTGAACTGAGCAACCTGTGATTTATCTCCACTCCACATGTTCTTGTGAAAGAGATTAATAAAATCAGATGGCTGACTGCTTAAGATGTTGGTAATCATGGTTATCGATATTCGCTGGGGTACTCTGACATCTTTTTAACTGCAGTTGCTTGTACCTTCAGCTCTTGTGCCAGCATGCGGACAACTTATCTAGAGAAATGATTCCTTTGATTTTCAGACAGAAGAAGTTGAAAAAGTAAAAACTGCAAACCTTTGATTGGATCTCTGTGTTACTGCTCCTGCCATGGAACCTTCTTTATGTTCATACAAAAATTTGCATTACTCTTCTCAGAATAGGAATACGAAGTGAGGATCTAAGTGATTTTTTGGAGAGAACAATTAAAGGAAGCACTATGGCTCTTTCATCTCCGAGGCTTGTAATTCCTGCCGCAATATATGGATTATGGATCTTTTCTCATCAGTATGTTGGCAGTGACTTCTTTGACTTCCAGGTAGTCCTTAATGTCATTTTCTCTGTGGTGAAACATATTAAGACTGTAATCAATACCAGCAATGGAGAAAATAGCTCTTCGTACCTATTCAAGTGCCCTTCTCTGTTTTCCGCAGCTTGTTCCGGCCATGCTTGGGATGTTTGTGTATAAAGCTGCCGCCCTGGTTCAAGTTTATCGAGATAATGAGGACCTTCAGTTCGTGTTTCCAGAGAATGAGGAAAGCTACTGAATGTGATAAATATGAGACTCAGAATTTCCAGGGCAGTTTGTCTACCCATTCACTACTGTACTCTCGATGGCAGAATCAATATGCTATCATGATTACCAAAGTCTGCTACGCACACGATCAATACTCTTATATCATTGCTGACTTGCCTTTTGGGTTGACTGAGGAAGATTCAAGCAGGGGAAGCTCATACTTGGTGTCACCGTCCAAGCTATTTGAATGTGTAGAATACAAGTACGCCGTGTCTAATTTCAAGTCAATTTTGTGATCCTGGCAGGAAAAGCCTTGTCACTCTCTCACTCAACTGGAGAGACGCTTCTGAGTAGCGGCAGAGCTTTTCTGTTTTTCTTTGCTTGGGCTCAGTTGTTTTATTAGATTAGGATTAGAATGAGACTGTGCTCCAAAGATTCATTTGGAAAGCTTTTTTCATGCCATTAAAGATGAAATCGGGAAAATTTTATCTTTGTTCCGAGCCCAGTATAACAAACTATTTCTGCGGAAAGTAATTCATTCAAGTCCTCTCATGAGTGACTTGGTATATCATGCAGGGTCTTATCCATCTTCTTTGTATTTCCACCCACGATTATCATGCTGATTTTTTCTGCTTTGTTTGGTATTGGAATTAGTTTTCTTCATGTTCCGACATTGGACTGCATGACAGCTTAACCAAGGTCGGTGTCGCTTGAAGCAGGAGCATGGAATCATGTTCATATCGAGTCAGAAAAATCGAATTCGATTGCCAGTCTCTCACTTGATTTTGTCGGGTGGTGTCGTGTGGCGACAACAAAAAGACACATTTGAGCACAAGTTAAGCCAAAGGAATACCAATGATCTTAGATTGATCCATTGTTATCTGGTTCATCCTTGAGATATGCAGACCTTTTAAAATGGGTAATAAACCCATTTCTTAACCCATATTTGATTGATAAAGTTGTTATATGAGTTAGTTATATTTAGTAAATGAGTCATAAATAGGTTGAGAATGGTAAAACCTAATATAATATGGGTGTTAAATGTGTTAACAGCTTATTTAGACCAAACTCATCTCTATGATTCTTCCTCACCATTACTCAATTTCGCAGTCACTCACTCCACGCTTATAAGTTTTTCTAAATCTAGTTAAATATGGAAGTATTTCATTATTAGTGAAAATGTCTTTAATCTATTGTATGGATATCAATTTAGTTTTAAACTTTTTAATTTAGCTAGTTTAGTCCTAAATCTTTTAATAATTTTTCAATATTATCTTTCCAGCCAATTTGGACCGGAAATTACTCAGGGGACGTTGGCCATCTATGTGACACAGTGATTTCTAGCTAAAATATATTGGCAAATCATAAAAAAGATTATGACTAAATTGACCAAATTAAAAGGTTTAAGACTGAATTGACATCTTTAAATTTAAGACTTTCTTTAGTAATTTTTTCAAGGATTGGCACGAGCCATACAAGCTGTTCGCTGGCATGAGCGAAGAGACAGATTCCGAATAAATGCGAGTCAAGATGAAATGTTCAAGGTGATGTTATCAAGATGGTTTTGCATTAATTCATCTTTAAGATTAGATCAATTATTAATCCAGCATTAGCATCTACTAAAAACACGATATGATGATGTCATTTTACTAGCGAGAGAGGGACTGCAGGCAAATCTACACGAGCGGAGACTACCAAGCGAATACATAAATAACTACCGAAGCCTACTCTCTCTCTCTCTCTCTAGTTCGTTCGTTTTCTCGCAGTGTTCAGAGTCGGCAAATTCAGATCGCTCGCTCGCTCGCCGGCGACGCCACGAACCCTAGATCCTTCCCCCCTCACCCCTTACCGATCGCCATGGCGGTGAGGAAGCCCGGGGACCGCCGGGTGCTCGACTCCGTGTGCTCCGTCCTCGCCCTCGTGCTCGTGCTGGTCGCCTGCCCGGAGCTCTGCGGCGCCGCCGCCACCGTCGTCGACGTCTACCGCCTCATCCAGTACGACATCTCCGGCGCCCCCTTCGGATCTCGCCTCGCCGGGCTCAACCACCACGCCTCGTCCCTCCACTTCCCCCCCGGCGCGGATCTCTCCCGCACCGTGCTCATCATCCCCGTCCGCGATTTGAATCTCACCTACGTGAAAGGTAGGGGACCTTCGGGCTCCTTTTCCTCTGTTCCCTAGCTGAAATGAATGTTCCGTGGGCTTTTTCGTGAATAAGACGCGACAAATTGGCCCAAGTTGTGATTGCTCTGGTGCTTGGTTGTGAGCTCACGTACAGTGATTGCTATTGGGCATGAACGGAATCCTAATCAGTTATTTGAAGTGGTGAATATGCTCAGTGCTTAAGTAGCTTAAGAAAATCAGTTGTCCAGAATGCTTTCTTCTGCTCTTTCTGGCAGGCTCTTCGAAAATGTTCCCCAATTTAGTTGCTGTCATCTTATCGCACCCTTCAAGATTGGGATTTGGACATTGTATGATCACTTTCTTGCGTGGAGATAGAGTCTAATAGTGGTACACATGGGGTAGCTTGCAATTCTTATGTGATGTAATGTGAAAAATCAATGTGGAGACTCCGCTCTGGAAATTTACCTACCGTCATGGCTAAATAAACCTGCGAGTTGTCTTTTCCTTTGATGCGAAAATGTTGGATATAAGTGTGACTAGTCAAACATGAAGGCATAGAAGTGTAAATAATTACAATTGTGAACGAGGATCCATCAACTGTTGAATTAGATGATGTCATACATACGTAATGAAATTTTCCGATCATGGTGCCACTGCACATGCGTCTTTCTGCTAGAATACCAGTCTTTGTGGTTTAGGGTAATTATTGTTCATTGTTCTTATGCTCTTCGTTTATCATCTTTCACTTTGTATTCTCTCTTAAATGAATGGATAACCTTTCTTGCTTTGATGTTTGAGCTGCACTTGTGTTAATTCCCATATCATTCTATAACATCTAATGTAGAGCTTTCTGTTTGTGGTGACAAATTGCAGATTACTTATCTCAAAGACAGCCATTGGGTGGTCTGCTGTTTCTGCTTCCTCAAATATTTAGTTTTGAGAGTAAGGAAAGCACCGGAGATGGAGAAGAGCTGCTCAAGAACATAGTGATGGAACTTGAACAGTTTCTTATACATACCAACATACCTGTGAGTTGTATGCATGAGATTTCCTTTCTATTGCTGTAGTTCAGATTTCTCATTCATCTGCCCTGGTTGATGAGGCCCTTTAGATTTAGTCATGGCTTTGATTGGCCTTCCTGCTCAAGGATTAGGGTTGTTTATAAACCTTTGTGCATATGATTAGAAGTGCCTGCAACAATATGTCTCTTTCGCGTAGGTCCCACTACCTGCTTAAAGAAGGTTTTTGGTCCGATTCATACAGTTGATGAGACTTCGTGAGGAGTTCAATGCCTTCTTGGAAAATCCTTTTGCCTGAAGACAACGTTATCTTCTTTATTGCACTGTCACCAAGAGAATTTCCTTGGGACAATTTTGTGATGATTCATCCAGCGCTTTTTCAGTGGCATCTTAGTATTTTTTTCTTGCAGATAGTCCCTGTTTTATTTGAAATATCTGTCCTTATGAAAGGTCTTATGAGGATTGGTTTTATTGCAGTATCCTGTTTATTTTGCTTTTGAGAATGATGATATCAATACTGTTTTGGCTGATATAAAAAGAAATGATGTCAGTGGACAGCCGGCTACTGCGACAACGGGCGGGTGAGTTAGCAAATTTTAACAAATCTACTTTAAAGGTTTCTTTTATTTTTTAACACTCGAAGCTGTCAATTCTATGTTTTGTCGTGTTCCTATTTCTAATTTTCTAAATTTAATATATCACATCAGATTTTGGTTATAATCAGCTCTGTTTCTACTTTATTAACGAAAATGTATATGTCAATAAGCATTATACGACCTGTATCTACTTTAGCAATTTAATTTTTAATTTTTCGTAGTGATCGAAGTGCATAAGGGGAGTTCTTCTTCACATTTGCGCGCATGGATGCTTTGTCTTGACACAAACTTTCATGGAATGCAATTTAAGTTTCTTAATTACTTGTTGCTTTAACTTAATCTAGCTGCCACTCCATGTGCTTATAGAAGTGGACAATTCAAGTGGACAAATTGGGTGATTTTGACCAATTTCTCCATGCTCCTGTTCTGGTTCTCCTTTTCTTTCTTTCCGCTTTTGGAATGAGGCGTGGGGGTGAGCATAGGCAATTCATGAAGTGCACTTTTCCTCATATCGGTTGATTTTCCTAGGCTTAATTTTTCTAGCTCATTGCATCTACTGATTGCTGCAGTTTGCTCGTGTCAATCCCACTTCTTTTATTTGTTTGGACAATGTTTCAAGGATCTGTATTACAGAAAATAGTCTCCCTCGTCATGCTAGCGTGCTTTAGTTCTCTATGATGCTTGAGGGAAAGTGCCTATATTTAGTTTACCTGATACAAGTTGTTTTTTGTATTTTTTAACAGATATAAGCTTGTAGTCTCAACAACTGAACCTAAGAAAGTTGCATCTCCCATCCTGTCGAATATTCAGGTTTGAGTTTATGTTACTTGGAATATGTTGGATTATGATTGAGGCGAAGACATGTAGTGTGTCAGATATGAAAAAATTATTGAAAGGAGCCTTTATTGTATCCATCTTATGAAGAGGACCCTGTAATGTATTTTCAGTGCTTTACTTGTAATTTGAGATCACAGTTAATCATTGAGTAATTGATATGAGGATTTCTTCTTGGTTATTAGCATCTTTATTCTCTCTGAAGCTGCCTTGTCTAAGGAAAATATTCCTGAAATCACTCAGTTTCTTTTATTGGGTTGTGACAGGGATGGTTGCCAGGGCTGAAAGCTGATGGGGATCCGAATCAACTCCCAACCATTGCCATAGTTGCATCTTATGATACATTTGGGGCTGCTCCTGTATGTATTCCCAATACCATTTTGTGATTACTATTGTTGCCGTAAAAGTCTCATAGTTCCTACATGCAGGCATTATCAGTGGGGAGCGATAGCAATGGAAGTGGTGTTGTGGCACTTCTTGAGATCGCTAGGTTATTTTCTCTTTTGTATTCCAATCCCAAAACAAGGGGAAGGTATAATTTACTCTTTGGACTTACATCCGGTGGACCTTATAACTACAATGGAACACATAAGGTACTTACAGTTGCAGCGTTCTTGCTGAGTTTATTTTACTCACAATCTTTGCATTTGATTTTAAATTACTTATGGTTTAATAGTGTGGCACCCTTTGTAACTCGTGTTTCTTACAATGCGCTACTTTTTGCAGTGGCTTCGGAGTTTCGATCAACGTCTGAGGGAGACCATTGACTATGCTATTTGCTTGAATAGTATTGGCTCATGGAACAATGAACTATGGATTCATGTGTCAAAACCCCCAGAAAATGCCTATATAAAGCAGACTTTTGAGGTTTCCTATCCATGTCTTAAATGAACCAGTTTAGTTGCTTATTTAGTTGTTCTACAATTTGATGAATGGAGCCTTTGCAGGGCTTATCAAATGTCGGAGATGAGTTGGGCATTAAAGTTGGTCTGAAACACAAG